GAAAAGTTAGAGTCTATGGCTGATTTTCTTAGAAGGAGCTTAGAAGCACCTGGGGACCTTTACTCCTTCCTCCTCAGGCACCTGCCCGGCCCCCTCTAACAGATGAGAATGATCTCTGCTAAATCCTCCCTTAAAAAACCCAGATGAGTCTGCGCCTATGCCACCATGAACAAGCCTGATTGCATCTGATCTCGGAAGCTAAGCATGGTCTGGCCTTGTTAGTACTTGGATGGGAGACCACCTAGGGAAACCAATGCTGTAGGCATAGAGAAAAAGAGAGAAAAAATAAAGAAAGAAAAGAAAGCCAGATGATGAGTACATTTGCATAAACTCTAAACCATCACCACCCCAAAGGACTGAGAAAGGGATAAGAGGGGGTCGGCGGAGGCCAATGAGGTCTCAGGAGAAAGAGCTCTGAGGAGACCCTACCATGGCCTGGACCCCGTACCTGTTTCCCCTCCTCATTCTCTGCACAGATGCTGCCCCTGAGGCGCTGCCTACATCTCATCCCCCATGGGACCCTGAGCTGGAGCTCTGCCAAACCCTGGTCTCAGCCTAGACAGGACCTCATTTGAAACCCCTGGGACCGGGCCCTTCATCCTCAGCTCTTTCTCCTCTTTTCTCTTGCAGGCTCCCTGGTTTGCTATGAGCTGACCCAGCTGCCCTCACTGTCTGTGGCTCTGAGATAAAGGGCCAGTATCATCCGTTCTGCAGATATCACTGAGAATGTAAATTATATGCACTGGTACCAGCAGAAGCCTGGCCAGGCCCATGTGCTGGTCACATATTATTTTGGCAACCAGCCCTCAGGGTTCCCTGACTGATTCTCTGACTCTATCTCAGGGAACAATGCCACCCTGACCATCAGCAGGACCCGGGCCGAGGACCAGGCTGACTATTACTGTGAGGTGTGGGTTATTGCCAGTGACGAAACACACAGTGACATAGGCAGATGGGCGGGTGAGACACAGATTCCCTTCCCCGTCACTGTCACATTCTCCTCCAGCCCTAGGAGGGTGAGACATGACACATCTGGCCCAGGTTCCCAGATCTGACATCCCCAGGCGGCCTTGTCCTCCGTGCCCTCCAGACTTGTTCTGCAGAGGGTTCACTGGGAGATAGTACATAAAATGAATACTGCACAAGTAGTCCCTTTGTTTAAAGCGTTAGTGGAATGATTGAACATGTTAAGTGCCAACTTCAACTACATTTATAAACCACCACATCTCACCTTTCAGAGAGGAAAGTTGTAATGTTGAAGTTTATAAATGCACAGTTGAGATTCGCAACTGTTTAGACACTGCAGAAGAAGAGTTTGGTGAACTTAATGAGATCAAATAGGAAACTATTCAAAACAGTGAAGAACT